GCAGGAATTCTGCATCACCCAGGCCAGCACGAGGGTTAAGAGACCCTTGGTGGGATGCAGTGCCCTGTGCTGTGTCCTGTAGAGATCCACACCCCTCCTGCAGCTCCAGCACAGCTCGGAGGAGCCCTGCACCAGCCCTGCCTGCTAAACCAGCTGCAAAAACTGTCCCACAAGGACCAGGAAGGCTCACAGGGCTTTTCCTGGCTGTTTCCCATGGGAAGACCCTCAGGACAGGGCTGGGACGCAGGAGGCTGCTGCCAGCACAGCCCAGGAGCTGCTCCAAGAAGATTGTGTTACCAACACCATCAAGTGACTTCAGTGTGGGAAGGGAGAGCGGGGAGGCTGGTATGAGGGAGAGCAGCAGGAGAGTGGGCATTTCCCTCCTGTGCCCCACCAGGAGCCCACCACCGGTCCCCCTGCTCACTCTCCATCCTGCTCCAGGACCTACACTTAGTCTCCATCCAGTTGAAGGGCTGGACCCTCAGGAGCTGGCAGGACCCCACATCCCCAAAAACACCCCCAGCATCACTGCATCACTGCCACACAGGGGATCCCTGCATCCACGCTGTCCTCAGCGTGTCCCCTCACTGCCACCAAACCTGCCTCCTGCACACAGCAGGCATGTGCCCATCCCACAGCCCCACTGAGATGCCTCCTGACCCACAGCAGGCATGTGCCCATCCCACAGCCCCACTGAGACGCCTCCTGACCCACAGCAGGCATGTGCCCATCCCACAGCCCCACTGAGACGCCTCCTGACCCATGGCCTCATGCTGCTTTTGGCACCCCAGGAAGAGAAGGGGAAACTGTTGGCAATTACCTTCAGCTTCATCATCAAAAATACCCCACACTCATAATCCCATCGGCCGGGGAGCAGCTCAGGGCTGGGGACAGAAATCATCCCTTGGACAGCCACGCTCAGGACCTGGCACACCTGGATGCTACCAGGATTTCCTTTATTTTCCCTTACTTTGATGGGACTCCTTGATGGGACTCTTTCCTTGACAATCTGCCCCTCTTGATGGCCATAGAAGAGGGAGTGATGCTGGTAAAGAGCTCACCCCACTCCAGACTGTACCCCCAGACACCCATACCCCTACCCTGCAGTCACCTGCCCCAACACACGGGGCTGGATTTTAAAGGATTGGGTTGGAAATGGTGTTTTTGTGCCTGAAAAGGGGGTGTGATGGCTGGAGTGCTGCTCAGAGCTGCCTGGGTGCCCGTCTGTACCTCTAAGTGCCGATGTGCCCTCAAAAAATGTGGGTTTTGAGCCTGTCTAGTAAAGCTAGAGGCAGAATAATGCTCTTTTAAGGTCTATTTCCATGCATTGAGTAGAAGAACAGAGCAAACCGTGACTGCTGTAGACATAAGCACACAGCCTGGCTTCTGCACAGCTCCCAAAAGCAAGTTGGGGTCCCAGCAGTGCCACCCCCACAGGGTCCCTGGCACCCACAGTTGACAACATGTCAGTAAGACCCAAACCAGCACTTGGGATGATAAAATCAGGTGCTGCCTGTGGCACATCCCCACCCAGCCCTGGTGTTGGAAAGGCCAATTTCCAGAGGCACCCCCGGTTGCTTTTGCCCCCCAAGACACGAAGGCAGCTGTGTGAAGCCCAGCCCTGGTGCTGCACATTGTGACTGAGGTATTTTTTGGGCTGCAGAATCACTGCACCGCCCTCCTGTAACTTCTTACCAGCCCCAAATTGGTGGGTTCCCTTGGAAATCTCACCTCCAGGTCCATATCAGACCTGGGTCATACCCACACTGCTCTGAGGATGATTGTTTTTCTGCAAATGGGTAAAATAGTCCTTCTGCTTCATTTGTCTCAATCAACACTGACATCCAGTGGCTTGTCAGGATGATTACAGCCGTCGTGCCTTGTGGAGATGTACAGATGTACAGCTCTGGACAGACCATCCTGGCTGCTGGCAGGGTGCCTGTTACACCACAGCCCTTCCTTAGCATCCCTGGAAGCTGCTGGGCAGTCTCCATGGGGAAGCAAATTCCCATCTCTTTGCAAAACCAAGACTGGAAAAGCTCTGTGCTTCCCAAACTTTTGAGGCTTTCAAGTAGAGACACGTTTCAGTATCTCCCCTGGCTTCACAGGGGCAGCAGGACTTGGGGAGCAGCCGTGACCATGCTGCTGGGGGACCCCTCACTTCACCTACCTGACCCACAACAGCCACATTTCATGCCTAAAAGACAAGAAGGACTCTTCCAGCCCCTCTTCCCCAAAGCATGGGGCTCAAACCTCATTAGGGGACTGGAATTAAGTCCCCAAAACATTTCTAGGAGCAAACAGGGTCCGAAATGGCGCACACAGCACTCTCCTGTCCAAGCCCCTGCACAGAGAAGGGAGGGGAGGCTTTGCTGGTTGATGGCAGCACCTCCTGGAAGCGACACAGGTACATCATGCCAGACCTGCAGGAACCTCTCATGAAAAGCTACGGGAGACATTCTCCCACCTCCAGCCTCCCCTCACCTCAAAACACAAGCTCAGGGTATCCCACCTGCTGGGAAAAAACAGCAAAACAGGCTCCACATTTCACCCCAGAGCCAGTGCCAGGTGACAACACCGTACCCTGCTGCCAAAGAGGTGACAAAGATTCCTGGGCAGAGACGTGTATCCCTTTGGGAGCTGGACAGTGCACCCCAAGGGACACCCCAAGTCACTGGATATGGAGACTGGTGGGCTGCGGAAGTGGGGGGAGCTCCCTGCTGAGGGGCACCCAGTGAAGGCACCCGGGCTCCCCCTTCCCGGGGTGAGAAGTGGGTGACAGCCCCAGCACGGCCAGATTTTGGGGACTGTCAATCATACCCCTGGCAGGTCTCACGGGCCATCAGTCTTGCTCCAGAGCTGGGTCTCAAGGATGGTGATTCACATCCCAATCCTGGTTTCTAGAGCCATCAATCACGTCCCTGTGCAGAGAGCA